GATTGTGGGAAAGTTCTGGGACGTGAAATTTTTTTGGAAGAATTAGCTTACGAGACGGTGTTGTTAGAATACCAGTACCGAAACGAGCAATAGGAAGTCATTGAAATTCCGAGGATCTCACATCGCACATTATATGATTTATCTTCTTGTTCAATTTGTTTAAAGAAATTCCACACCTATTGGAAGTCATTGATAAGGTTGAAAGACAAGTCAAACATAAGCAAATGAGCTAATGTTTGAACTCGGTTCGTTAACTTTATCATTGTTCATATTTTGTCCATGTTCGTTAATGTTTGTTACTTTTATGTTCAATCTCTATGTGGTCCTATTGGAAATTTTATTTTTTGGCTCACTAATAACCTGTTAAGTTTAACGAGTTATTATTGATCTAAACTTAAATGACATTGTTGAATATAAATTTCTTCATTTGTTGTTGAATGCCTAGTTCAAGAGAATTAAGTTTAAAAATGATAACTAAGAAAAATATGAATATAACCAATAAGCGACTTTTCATTTGTGAATTAAATCTTTATAATCAAAATAATATAACTGTCCTAACTTTACATATGTAACAAATTAAAATTTGCAAATTGAATTCAAACATGTCTTAGAGTTTTGGACAAAATAACTCTTCGGCCTTGGAGATATTTATTATATTACAATACTAATATAATGGGTTATACAGTTTATATGCATCAACAAAGTAAGTATCCTTTTTCAATATAATTCCTTCCATTGAATCAGTATTAATTACTGCACCAAAATTGCAACTTAAAAATCCGTAGTTGTGTTGCAAGCACATTCCCACATGAAGCTCCATTCATTTCCCAAGTTGCTTAAAAAATATTCTGAACAGCTGCAGAGCTACATCGAGTTGACAATATTATGCAGTAAAAACAATTCCAAATTTTAGAGTAGTATAAATACATTATCAAAGTATTAATTGCCTCTAAATGCTTATGATGTATGTAGACAGTAGACAATATCGAAATTTAATTTTTTGGATCTTATTTCATGAACCAATTAGCAATACTTCATATTCTTTTCTTTTTCTATCTCCTTAAAAATTCATGTCCAACACTTCATCAGACATGTTTACACAATCTATTCTAAAAGCTATCTCAAATGATGAGATTGTTTTCATAACTAATGGTGGATGTCAAATGCATCTTTAGTATTGACGTGATAAACCTACTTATGATGATTCATGGAGTACTTTATTAGAAGTGGAATAGTTATGCCTATATTTACTTGAATAATATCAAATGCTCAATTCTTTGCAATTGAATTTTTTTCAAGACGACAAATTTGATGCAAACATCAAAGTATGCAAGCATCAAAGTTGATACTCATTGAAAATACAAGATGTGAGCATTGAGACATAAATTGACAATTTATATTTTGATTCTACTCTATGTTGCACCGATACACCTATTTATGAAGGCGTGTTATATCCGATACATGAATACACCTCTGATACGACATCAATACATGTCGGATACGGCTTTGCCATATCCAATTAAAGTACTACTTAATTTCAAAAGGACACGAGTATCCGATACGCATGTCTGTTGAATAACAAAAAAAAAAAAATCTGAAAAAAGACCCGTTGTATTTACTTCCGCAACTGCATGCGTGGTTCTCTCATTTCCGAGATGGATTTGAGTCTCTTGATGATATGGGAATATTAGAAATTGCTAATCTTTCACTTGATGAGCCTGAATTAGAAGCTTTGATATTTATTGAAGATGATATAGAAGTTCAAAGACAAACCACCGAAGAAGCTAATCATATCATTCCTTCTATTGAATAGTTGAGGCTACATGTGCTAGACAATTTATGTTTATGTTTTTTGTTGTTGTACTAGACATGTAATGCTTATTTTTATTTTAATATTATAAGCTACAAATGATGTTACTTTCATTTTTTTTCGTAATTTCAAATATTATGCTTGATTGCTTTCTTAATTTCTGTATGATTTATAAATTACAATGTTGTGTCCGCGTCGTACCCATGTCCTGTATTTTTAAGAATTGATGTCCTGTATCCGTATCGTTTCGTGTCCGTGTCGCCGTATCCGTATCGGTGCAACATAGATTCTACTTGAGTTATTTCTATTTCATAGTTTTTATTTTATTTTGTATAGACATGGCTATGATGTTGATCCTTAGAAAGAAGTTTTGTCCTCAAATGTCTATGTTGGTTCGTTTTATAGTTTTTTGGTTCAACAATTGGTTCACTGTTTACTGCCTTATATTAGTTGGTTCTCCAGTTCTTTATGTTTGCTCTTATTGTTGTTTCGGATCTTGAAAATTATTTGAGTGCGACTTGAGTGTAGATTGAGAACTTTTATGGGAATCCATATGGATCGACAGGAGGACTTTATCTTCTGTTGGACAGTTTTTTTTTTTTTTTTGCTTCTTTTTCTTTTCGTTTACATAGTTTGTAATTGGTTTGCACTTGTGATTGAATTTGGTAAAATTATTATAATTTAATATTTTATTGATCTAAAAAATCTATCTTTTTTTTGTTCGGTCTGTAAATTATAATTTGGGACAAAATGTACATATTTTTTTATTTTTCACTAAAAGATTTGAAATTGTTAAATTAAAGTTTGTACATTGCGAAATTGGCCTTTGCATGCGTGATATTGTATATTTCATCCTAGATTTGTGCTAAAATTTTCTAGGCCCTAAGATCCCGCATTATATAAAACGTGAAGTTATCTTTATTGCTTTATAGTTCAGTTCTTTGTAGTTGTGCGGTTTGAGAATACTTGAGCCAACCTGAGAAAGAATGGCTCTTCATGTGATATTGTGATTACTATACAACTACGCAGCTGTGTTTAGGTTGGCATTTTGGAGCAATAATTAATATCAATTTAATGTCAGAATTTGTATTGAAAAGAGATGATTTTATTTTGTTCATTCTTCTACTCTGCATAGCGAGAAGACCGAGTTGTATTATTATTGTAATAATACAATTATGTGTACAAACAGAACCATGTTTTATCCATGATTCTAAGGCCTGATTGAATTGAATTTATAAATTTTAACATGTATGTTTTTTGTTACTAGTGTTATATTATTTGATTATTTCTATGAGAAAAAGTTCAAAATAATCCCCAATTATTTATATGCGAGTCTGTGACCAATTTAATTTTAGATTATTATTTTTTTTTTCAATTTAGTCCATTGACTATATAAAATTAGTCTCAAATGGCCTTCCATGGATTATTTGGATCTATTTTGTAGAGTTGAGGGATTGAATTGGATCAATTTTTCATCCCAATTTTCATCAATTTCTGATGCAGTCAAACTAGAAAGAAGAGACAAGTAGGAGAACACTAGGACAAATTAAAAATCAAACTCCATTCAATCTAGTAAGCAAACATCCAAAACAAGACATCAAGCCAACGAAAAGTCGAAACAAACGAAACAAAATTATATCATAAAACTACTATCCTCAGGACAACCGGCAAACGATTTCCTCACATGCAACAAGAAGTAGGAAATATATGATAAAGTGCTTAGGCTTGCAAACCGAGAGTCCACAACAAAAGGGTCCAACGTCCAACCAAACTCCTCCGGTAAATGTCTCCAAATCAGCCAACAAACTACTTCCAAAAGCTCAAGAAGAAGGATACAAGTGGAGTGGAACTTGCGTAGAGAAGAAGAGGTTAGAAGCCAAGACGAAATAGAGAGGAGGAAGAGCTGGAACAAGCTCTCAAGCTTTTCTAAGAGAAGAAACTTTAGGTTTTAAGCAACTTCTTTCAAGTTAATCAACAACCTTTCCAAGACAAAATTTTCTCATATATATAGGCACAAAAGGGGAGCCAAACAGCCAACAACAACCTCTCCAACCAAACCAATCAGGTGAGGGGAATAAGAAGGACAAAAGACACCACAAACAGCTCCCAAAAAATTGCATAGAAAACATGAAGGAGAAGCCACGGGAACACAGCCAGGGAGGGGACCCGAAGAGACAACACAAGAAACGGGCTAGAGAGGACTCGGGAAAACAACCATGGGGAGAAACTGAAAAGCCCACACAAGCACCCAGCAGGCATATCACGGGAACATCACAAAGAAGAACCCGAGGAGACACAAGAAGGGGAAGAAACAAGCTCCACTCCACATACCTCTTCAAATTTATGAGCTAGGAAGTGCAATTACTCCTCCAATAATGAGCTAAACTTCAGCTCAAATATTAATGAGCTAGCACTAAGAAGTTCTCAAGATATCAGCTCACAAACAGGCAGCCAAAGCCCAACCCGAGAGCAGCCATGGCCCAAACCGTGAAACAGCAAGCAGCCCAAAGAACAAAGGACCCAAAATGCTAGCAAACCCAAGCCATGCCATGCCCAAGCACTTCCTACCATGATCATTGGATGCTTTCCATCATTGGATAGTAAATAAAAAAAAACTTAAAATACAACTAAATATTGTTCAAATTACATCAAAACATAAATAACCAAAATATGAATGCATCAATTTCTGTATGAAAAATTATTTCGGGTCAATTTGTATGTCAAGAGATTAAATTATGTAAATGTGATATTCTGGGACTAAATTGATTTCATATGAATAGTTGGTGTGATTATTTATTGCTATCATAAGCATTTAAGGAAATGTTTATTCTTGGTTATATCCATTTTTCTATTAATCATAATTTTTTAAACTTGATTTTGTTGATCTGGTTTTTCAATAACAATTTAAGCCATTTTTGTTTGGTTTTATTCTTTTCGGTTTAGCTCAATAATCATTAACCATAACGAGTTGTTTGTGGGCTTTGAAACAATATCAAACTGAGCTTGAACAAAGAAGTAGCAATTGTTAAGGAACACGAACTGAACACAAATTATATTCGACTCATTTACACCTCTTCTTACTTATTCACCTTAACCTGCAACGATTCTCTTATTTTTTATTATGCAAGAAAAGAGGTTGAGCGTTCAAACTTACTTTTCATTACAGCATTTTTTTTTTTTTTTTGTGAAGAATGACAAGCGTGAGAGAGTTGTAAAGGCTAGCCGTGACGTTACAATGAACAGCAAGAAAGTCATTTTTCAAGTGCACAGGTAAGAGGCTCCTATTTATTGTCTTTTCCAGCCAGGTAACTAGGAAAATGACAATTTCATTTCTTTGTTTGCTTGTAACGTTACATGATAGTCATCACGAAGGTGTAGTTTTGCACTTTTTCAGTTGCTCATCATTTTCAAATCCTCCTTTTCTTAAAATAGGGCCAATAAAGACAACAGAGAAGAAGTGTTGTCCAAGGCAGAAAAGGATCTGGCAGCCGTAACTGAGCAGTTTATGTCAAGATTAGTAAAAGAATTGAAAGGAAATGACTTTTGGAAGCTTAGGCGTGCATATACATTTGCTGTGAGTACCTAAATGGGCATAATTCATTTCTTAATGATATTCAGACTGGCTTGTTTATTATAAGAGTTTATAGGTTCAGGAATATGTTGAAGCTGCAACATTCTGTAGATTCTGCAGGAAGGGATCCCTTCTGGATCTTAAAGAGATTAATTCTACTCTTCTGCAACTAAGTGATCAATATGAAGAACCCTTGCAAATAAATGCCCTTGACTATCTCCTAGGGGTAATTTGCAGTGCTTCCCCTTTATCCAACATAAAGTTATAATATGCTGTGGGTAAACTTCTACTGCCCTTTAGCTTGCAGATTTGACTGGTGAGCTAATGAGGCTAGCCATAGGCAGGATATCAGATGGAGAAGTTGAGTATGCTGAAAAAATATGTAGATTTGTACAGGATATATACAGAGAGTTAACACTACTTGCTCCCATCATGAATGATAACGCTGACATGAAGAAGAAAATGGAAACAATGCTCCAAAGCGTAATGAAGATTGAAAATGGTATGGGGCCTCATTCAATATTTATGATCTGCTAATTCTAAATATGTTGGTTCTAATTTCAGTTTGATCTAGAATTCTTTTTTTGTCTTTTAAGATGGCATCATGCAGAGTGCTTTTTAAGGATTTCCACATTTTCCTCTTTGAAATATTTGGGAGTGGAATTTCATAAAGAACATTTTAGTTTTAGATTCATGAGAGTTGTGGGCATGGTTGATGAAATTTTGTTAGCCATGTTATTTGGAAGTAAATTTGCTATTTTAGGAAGCTTAGGGGTTGTTTGGATGCAGGATTTGAACTAAGGCTTCGTTTGGGATGGCTTTCTTACTGCTTCTTAAAGCCGCTTTCTAGTACAAATTTTTGTACTAGAAAGCGGCTTTAAGAAGCGGTAAGAAAGCCATCCCAAACGAAGCTTATATCCTGCCAAACCCCAAGTTAAATATCACGGTGAGTGTAATCTTCATTTCACAACATTTTTTCTCCTTTTGAACTAAATTCTGGGTTTACAAAATCCGAGAGTTCGGTGAATTATAGAATTTATGGGCGTGGGAGAAAGGTGCGGAAAGTACAAATTCCATCCGCTTAAGTTCAATGGGCAGCTAGCCGAAGGCAAGTTCAAATGAAGAAATCTTTCATCAAAAAGGGGAGAGCAAAGAAAGATAGAACTTAACGAGAACTATAGCTAAAACACTACTTCACGCAAAGCTGAAGCTGCAATGAAGAAATGGGGATGAGGAAAACAAACCCTAGACAGGCCTAGGCAGAGCATAAACAAAGATCAAAGAGAAAAGAAATTATAGTTATTTGTTATTGCATTAATTATTAGAGAGACATTGTCAGTTTTAAATAATTATTAATTTTAATTGTTTGTATTAATTAATAGATTTATTAATTAAAAAATAATAATAATTATGATTTGATGTTACATAAAAGTTATATTATTAATTAATGAATAGAAATATTAATTTAAATTAATTGTTATAATCTAATTTAATTCTATTAAAAGGTTGGAGACTTGGAGTAGCTCCAGTGGAATATAAGATTAGAGAGAGTCGCCTTAGATGGTTTGGCCACATTAAACGGAGGCCTTCCGATGACCATGTCAGGAAAGTTGAGGTATTATATTTGTAGAGGTAGACCTAAAAAGATTTGGTTATAAAATATTAGAAATGATCTTTATTTATTATATTTAAATGAGAATTTGACTTTTAACCGGACACAATGGCAAAAAAGGATTCATGTAGCCGACCCCATGTAGTGGGACAAAGGCTTGTTGTTGTTGTTGTATGTATTTCATTAATTTAGTATTTTATTAATTACTAATTAATTGTGATATTACTTGAGCTAACAGACTTTAAATCCTAAAATAAGTAATCAAACAGTTCATCAAGATTTAATTAGATTTAATCTCTATCATGTCAAATAACTTTCAGGATTTAATATCCTTAGAATTTAATAAATTCACATTTATACTAAATTCTATTTGAGTTCAATCCTACTTGTATCCCAACAACCCGTTAGTTTCTCATTTCTGTTAGTTCTGGCCTCCATTTTGCTAGTTTTATCAGAATTGCTGAATGCACCATTGTCTACTTTTTGAAATGATTATATTTTAATTTTGTTGTCAAATCAAATTGTAGTAAAAAATTTTTCAGGTGTCCATGGACTGTAAAATTACTTTTTCAGTGAGCTAAGCTTCTTAGAAAGGCTGCAGCTAACACATATTTCTGTGTTTATCTTGATACAGTGTTTTCTTTTTATTTCCTTTAACGTGCAATGATTAAAACCAGACTTCATTCTCCTACGGGATGGCTATTCTCTGGTCATTGCTGGTTGAGTGGAAGATTAGCCACAGGCCGTATGAACACTTGTCGTAGGTTTTATGTTCAACAATTAATCTTCCATATGAAGTTCATTGTTTGCAACTTTTGTAATTTATAAGCATAAATGATGAGTAAATATATGAGTCAATATAAGCATTCATGATGAATACAAAAGAAAACAAGGAGGGGAAGAATCAAAATTTTGAGAATATAAAAGCCTATACCCCTAACCAGAAATTCTCCTAATATTACGCTGCCTAATTCAGCATTTCCTAGTTTATATCATACAATAGCACTTTCCCTCAAGCTATAGTATATTTACATATTTTAATCTCCGCTTATTGAACAGCTTCGATAGAAATATCTGCCACAAACTGGATGCATGAGTAGCAATAATTTTTATCAAAGAGACTTGAATATGTTTTCATGAAAAATAGGATTGATGACATTATAGATGGCAATATAATTGTGATAATATAGTATCATAAACTGAGCAAAGATATTTCCCAAATCATTTCATACGTTGAGTGAGGGATAGCTATGTATTCATTATGTGCATTTGAATTTGCCACAATAATTTGTTTCCTAATTTTCCAGGTGATCAGGTTACCTCCAACAAAAATACAATATCCTAATATTAACTACCTGCCTGCAATGAATCAACATAACCAGCATTTGAGAATGCTTTAACATTCTAGTGCCCAGTTTTAGTATATGTTACTATTGCGGACTACAATATGCGTGGAAATAGAGTTAAAATTTTTCGTTTCAGCATTATACATATATCCATCACACAAACAAGGAATTTAAAACACAAGGATTTTTACGTGGAAAATCCTGGAAAAGGGAAAAACTAAGGGGTCACGCCCAATTGAAATGATTTTACTAGTATTTGAATAAATAACAATATTTGTTCTGTCATTTAATTTGAAGATGGTGAAATTACAATAATAGGAAGAGTTAGGTGGGGTTCCCGATGTCAGTTGATGGCCGGGAGGAAGTCCGGCTTCGGTCGGTAGCCGGGCAAAAGTCTGACGACAGTCGGTGGCTAGGCAGAAATTCGGCGATGGTCGGTGGCCGGGCAGAAGTCCGGCGACAGTTGGTGGTCGAGCAGAAGTCCTGCAATGGTCCGTGACTAGGTAGAAGTTCGGCGTCGGTCGGTGTCCAGAAGGAAGTTAGGCGATGGTTGGTGGTCGGGTAGAAGTCCGACAAAGGCTGGTGGTTCGGCGGTGGTTCAATGATGGTCGGTGGTCTGACGGTGGTCCGGCGGTGGTTGAGAAGGAGCTTGGTGGTAAGAGAGATCTCAGATTTCTCTTTCTTCTTCCTCTTCTTTTTTTTTTCTCCTTCTTTTTGTGAAGAATGGGGGTTTATTTATAGTTTTTGGGGAGTGACATGACTGATAAATAAGGAAAAGATCAATGACATGTTTGGAGTGTTTTGGATGGATGATTGATATTGATTCCCTTGATCATACATGGTTTATTGAGCATTTGAGTGTCTTAATGATGCCGGAATTCAGCGATATTGGGATAGTTGGATTCGTCTCGTCGAGCCACTCAATTCAACAATAAGCATGTCACATTTGGAAATCATTTAGGTGTCCATTTGGAAATCATTTAGTTGTCCAAATTATGCTTTGAATCGTATAAACGTGCTTCGGGCCCTTGATTTGGTCAGATTGAATTTAGTGTAGTTGGGTTCGCCTTTTCGAGATGTTCAGTTCGACTATGAGTTTGTTGAAATGGGAGTTCGAATAGTCCAAGAATTAATTTCGAAAGTTTCCCATTCAAATTTGCCTCGAGGTTTGTGCTCGATCAAGATAATTTTTTGATGATATATCAATAACAAAAATTGTTCTTGGATACTTTTTGATATCTCTGTTTAAAATTGTGCAATAAGAGGCGCGCCTTGAGGCGCGCCTCTGCGCAATTTGACCCAAAACCGCCTCGAGGCTTACGCAATTCCTCTCCTGGCAGAGGCGTACGCCTCACTTGGACTGAGGCGCGCCTCAGAGGCGCAAATGCGCAATTCTGGCTGAGGCGTACGCCTCAAATATATGCTCAGTACCGCTCAGTACATGCTCGGTACCGCTCAGTATAGCTAGGTATTTGCTCGGTACTGCTAGGTATATGCTCGGTACCGCTCAGTATATGCTCGGTATAGCTAGGTATTTGCTCGGTACTGCTAGGTACATGCTCGGTATTGCTCACTATATGCTCGGCACAGCTAGGTATTTGCTAGGTACTGCTAGGTACATGCTCGGTACTGCTCAGTACCGCTAGGTACATGCTTGGTATTGCTAAGGAACATGCTCGGTACCACTCGGTATCTTCCCATAAAAACAACTTACGAACTTCAAAAATAAATAGAACTTCAAAATTACTCTTATAATAAAATTTTGTTCCGAGTGCATGCTTTGATTGGAAGACATTGGACTCTATAGGAGAGGAGGAAGGGGTGAGAAGATTCCCTTGAAGACCCATTTAGTGATGGGACATGATTGGATTTTATATGTTCTTTCTTAATTGTACTTTGGGAGTTTTGATAGACTAATATTTTGTGGTTTTGTATTTTGGGACATGATTTTATTGCATCTATTTTCTTACTTTCCTCTAATTTTAATTGTCATTTAGATGTTTTTATTGTGTGATAGAATCTTACTATTTTTTACTTGCTAAAACCCTTAAATTCTTATTTACTCAATTCTTCGTCGATGAGGCTTACGCCTCACACCGCCTCGAGGCTTACGCCTCGCCTCACGGACGAAAAACCCCTCGAGGCTTATTTACGCAATTTTAAACCTTGTTTGATATATCTTGGAATTCACAAAACATCCTCTTAATGCTTTTATTTTGTATTTTACATTTGTCAGCTGACTACTCTATTGGAGAACAAGATGTTAGGCTTAATAACGATTAGATAAATCAACTTGCTATTTAACCTTCGATATTAAGATGGATATTGAAGCATCTCGTTGTTATCATAAGTTGAGCAACCTTCCTATGAGATTGCTTCATATAAACTCTAATTTAGGTCACCATGAGGAAAACATTACTTACATCTATTTGTAGTCCTTTGTTGATGGCCACGTACATAAAGTATTTTTATCGAGTTCAGTCGAGAAAAAGGATTCATGTAGCCGACCCCACGTAGTGGGATAAAGGCTTGATGTTGTTGTTGTTGTTGTTGTATCGAGTTCAGTCGAGCAATCAGGGATAATATGCTAAAATAGTCAATCCTATAGACCTGTGTGAATTCTTTTGCCGCTGTTAAGCTTTATAGCGATATATCAAGCCATCATGATGAATTTTAATAGTGAAAACCCATCGTTAAGAAATTGAATTAATCCCAAGAAAGGGAATAATCAAATCCCATACATGATGGTTGAGTATAACACCCATTTCAACATCCTTAACTTGTTTTTTAAAAAAAATTTATAGCACTTTTTGATGTCATTGAAATGAAGGACTAGATAAATGTTTGCAAGGAATTTGGCAAATGATGAAATGGCATATTATAGTGAATGGAATGAGTGGTGCATTGCCTTCTATCTTTCTCCTAAACAATTTGTAAATGTAGATTATAAAGCTCATCAGCTGGTGGATGCTCAGTCTAATTTTGTCAACGCGGTTGTAATTGTTGTTGTAGAGAGAGGCTGAGGCCTCTGAGATTAAACTGATAGAGATACATATAGGAGATTTTGGAGGAAGAACATGTTGTGACGTTGTTTCAGAGCTAAAGGATGTAGGAAAAATTTTCAGTCTCTTGAAATATTGCATTTGTTGAAGTGTATCATTGGCAAGTAAGAGGATCACAACAGTTATAACCAGTTTTGAGGGCAAGAATACCGGAAAAAAGATACACTCATACACCCAATGCCACATGACATGGAGAGAGTTTGTCATTATGAGCTAAAAATATGAATTTAGCTGTTGCCCTGCTTTTTGTGGTCATTTTACTTCCAAAGAATTGGGAATCTGATGCTTCCCATATGCCCATGAGGCATGGAGAAATTATTATGTGTAGAGTCCAGTTATGTTCGGACTCCAATAAAAACGTGATATATATCTTTGTACATAATGTTTATAACTGTACACACTATATATAAATTATAAAATTATGAATATAATATGTATAAACTTATATACGTAATATACACACTATGTACAAGGACACATGTCATATTTTTATTGGAGTCCGGACGTAACTCTACTTTCGGATTCCGCACGTAATAATTTCTCTGAGGCATGAGGGCAGCATGCAATTTACTTGCCCTCATGCTTCTTCAATGCATGCATATTATTTCTGCTCTTTTAATTTTCTCTTCTTGTTTGCTCCTTGCAGCTTGCTTTAGTGTTCATGTTCGAGGATCCGAGTACATTCCTTTGCTTGGTACCAATGATGTTGATTACTCTTTCATGGGATTACCAGACTTTGACTCTTAAGCACTGGCAAGTGGCAACTGCCCTGGTGAGTATATAACGCATCTGCTTTATATATACTTATATCTTTATATTTACTTATATTACATTCAAAATTTTTAAATCGCTTAAAAAAATGTCATTAATTTTATTTTTTTTTTAAATTCATTTATACATTTTACTGTGATTGAGACATTAAGATACTATTTAATTAAATATAAAAAAATTATTTGTTAGATATGGAAGTATATAATTATTGTATCTATATAATCTCTTTTTTTAATGATTGCTGCTGCTTAGCTCAAAACAGAGCCCAAAAGAAGTTTACATAATGAATTATTTGACATGTGAATGCTAAATATCATCCATGAATGGCCATTAAGGTTTATTTTAGTCTCTAAATTGAATAGCAGAACCTTTTTTCCTCTAAATTTGACCTTATTGCTGATTACAGGCACACATTGAAGACAAAAAAAAAGTGATTGGAGCTTGGTTTTGCAGTGGGATCATTAGTTTTTTTTTTTTAGTTGGACAAGGCATGATTAAGGATATTTTCGAAGTTTTGAGGATATTTAAGGGAGTGGATTGCAGATTAGTTCTTCTGGAAAATAATTTAGTTATTCTGGTTGCGAAAAACAATTTTTCATCATGAAATCTTTTAAAAATTATTAAGAAAGCAGCGAGAAATTAGAAGTCAAATGAAACTATAGGTATCATTCGGAATTGCTTTTTGGTTGTATTTTTAAAGCAGCTTCTAGTTAAAAAAATTATTTTTTTTGTACTAGAAAGCGCAAAGAAGATAGAAAGTTTTCGCAAATGTGAAATTATTATGTGCGGTCATCAGATGCCATCCACGGGTCAATCAGGACGCATCATGTCATCAATTTATTATATATCGTTACTATGTACCGATGCATATCAGATGACGAGGTGCATCTTGATTATCCTCCGGACAGTCTGATGAACACACATAATAATTTCTTGTTCCAAACCAGCCTTAAATATGTGGATAATTGTTTTCCTGAGAAGTATTAGATATGAAAAAGAATAAAATCTAGTGTCTTTGTGCTTTGTGGTAGGTTTTAGTTCCATGTGTTCATGGGTTGGTGCAGGATCCCCGTGGCACGTGTAATTGATGGGTGGTTGGGATTGATTTCCTTTTCTGTAGTGAATTTTGACCATTAGATTTAATATTAAGCTTTCTCACAGCATAATTTTTTCACTATATTATTTTTCAAATTTCTGGAAAAAAAAAAAAATCTTCAATTGTATTCAATTGTAAAATATGCCACCATGTGAACCACATGTGCATACTACTCTATCATGCTTGTGACACCTGTTAATTAACATAATACATATAAAATTTAATATTTTAATATAATATAATATTTATGTATAAAAATATCTAATTCGCATTTGAATGTATGGTTGCTATCAGGTAGCTTATACAGTTCATTTAGGAATACAACACGCAACGATCTGAATTTTTTATTTGCTTTGGACGGTATCATATCACGTACAATATTGCATGTTCGACGTGGCTGTAATCTGAGCCCTTGGATCATTTATACTAATCACAACAATCAATCTCATGTACTTATAACTGTTTGATTTTTTTATTAGGTCGTTGATTTTTTTTTTTCTGGGATATTTCTTTTTGGGATGATTTTTTTATTGCGTCTTAAATAGCTTTTAAAATTTTGGTGTTAAAAAGCTGTTTTAAGAAGCTGTAAAAAAGTCAATCCCAAACGAAATCTAATGTTTTGTTTGGGACAATTTTCTTATTATTTTTTTAAATTAGCTTTTTAGTACAAAAATTAATGAAACTAAAATTTTTTGTGTAATAAAATTATTTTAGAAAGCAGGGAGAAAGCTGAGTGTGCATTTGGGACGGCTTTCTTATTGCTTCTTAAAGCAGCTTTCAAGTATAAAAATTAAAATTTTTTATTTAGAAAGCTACCTGTTTAAGAAGCAGTAAGAAAGCCGCTTCAAACAAAGCTTAAGACAAATTCATACATACATCATATATAAATAATTTGAATTCAAGATCTTTTAGTTGGTAGTAAGAGCTCTCAATCAATAAATCAAGATGAGTTGCATGTTTTTTGGCTAGGAATTTGATCAAATTAATGAAATAGTTGGGTGTGATTGTCAAACTTTTCCAAAATAATAATTTGTACTTAATGAGTTGGTTTTTATTAAAATGGCTTATTCATCTTAGTCAAATACGAATTAAATATTGCTTAATAAAACATGCTAAACCGACAATCCAATGCTAACAGCTGAAGGTACTTGCAAAATGCCGTTGGAACTACTTTTGGCATTCAAAAAGAGCTGAGTTTGTTGTGGAAGATTGCAAGAATCATAACTTTTCAACTATAAAAATCATATATTTTTAGAGTAATTGAGGCTTAGTCTACTATTATAAATGAATGTACATTAGGGGGTTATATGCAAATGTGAAGTACTAGGGGTGTGAGTCAAGCCGGCTCCTTGAGCTCGAATTGATAAATGACGTGTGAGGTGAGCTTGATGAATTAACCAATCAAATTTGAGGTAGTTATTAATATAAAAGATCTTATCTTATCTGCCGCTGTAGCTATTTCAACTTTTTCATATATATATGCTTGTTTCTTATCTTATCTTTAAGAATAAAGTCACTCATCCATCTCAGCAACATTTAACTTAATATTATGCTTCTTTTTTATGGCCAACATTTTGCACCATAAATCATTATAGGTCTTACCACCATCTTATAGAATTTTTCCTTAAATTTGAGGGGTACTTTTCTATCACATAACAAGCTGGATGCATCATCTGCTTCACTAAAGTCTCGTTTGGAACAGCTTTCTTTCTACTTCTTAAAGCAGCTTTATTATACAAAAAATAAAATTTTTGTACTAAAAAGCCGCTTTACGAAGTAGTAAGAAAGCCGTCCCAAACGAAGCCTAAATCTGTTTATCGATCTACATAGCCTTAAAAAAGTGAGCGGGTTTTAAAGTCTGGATCGAATGAGAAAAATGAAGGATTACATTAAGTAAACGACAACAAACATAAAATTTGTGGGATATTCCTGATAAGAAGCACAATTATTGCTGAAAAAAAAAAATAATTGTAAGATCATTCTTACGCTAATATATCACATGGCATAAAAGTGACAAGAGAGGTAGAGAGAGAGAGAGAGAGAGAGAGAGAGAGGATAATTATGATAATAGAATATCTCCTTTCAAACTAGTAGTGGACCAAAAAAATATTAAAAACGGTAAAGATATTACCAGCTCACCAACTATTCTGATAAGAAGCATTCCATTTTGGTCTATCTTTATAACAATTATTATCATTTTGGTCTATGATTATATGATATATTTGAAAAAAATAATATCAACAATTTATCATTCTAAAATAGAATTGAGATAACCACCATCCACCGTTGATTAGTTTGGTTGATGGGCAAGTACGGTTGAAACATCTCAACCCATGGTCGATTACCGACGAGGCAACAACTCTTAAATGGTGTCCAATCAAGTGCGGGACAGAAGATTTCTGAGTGAGTGCCTCTTCTAGGTCAGCCGAGAATTAGATATGCCGCCAATCGTCCTTCCGAAGATGATAGTGGGTGGATACCCCGTTAAAAAAAAAGGAGATGAAATCTTTAATGATAATTTGGGGTGTTAATATTTGACACGACACGAAAACCCAACTCGGACCCGACCCGGAAAATCCGGGTTGGACACGACCCGATTTCAAAATAGGTTCGGGTCAACCCGCGAACCCGTTTAACTTGAACTGCTCGTGCTGCCCCGCCTGCCCGCTTGCCCGCGCACCGCCCGCGGCTGCCCGGACCCTGCTTGCTCAACTGCTCGCTCAACAAAGCCTGCCAGCGCACGCTGCCGCGCCTGCCAACGCCTGCGTCTCACGCCCGA